TTAGATGCATTGAAGTCTTTTCTTCAATGCATATAAATCCTTTGATATTAGAGCCTCCTGAATATTATATAAGACACAATGTCTAATTCAATTCTATAAGCAAATATCCACATTAGGTATATTTTGACTTGTCATTCAGAAAACATTATGCTCGCTTCATACAAACTTTACTTTTTCAATAAGTAATGAAATACAGGCTAGAAATGAAATGGTAGAAACTGCATATGAAAAGCTGTATTTTTAAAAATTAAATGTGAAAAAGTGCCAAATTAAAGGGTCATTTATGTACATCTTTATGGCAACTTATCCCATTATATGAATAGCTCAAGTACTTGTACAAAAACACTAAATTATAAATCCACTTGAGAATAAATGCAGTAATGTGCACATGCACCAACACACACATACACACACACACATACACAGATGCTAAATTTACAAAAGTGTGTCAGGTAGCTGGTGGCCATCATTGAATTAAGAATAGTATATTGCTAAGAGTCATCCCAGATTCCAATTATATTTATACATAAATTGTGCACTTATAAAAACCTTACAAATACTTCTATTTTTCCAGGAAGATATTCTAAGTAACAATTTAACACGTTGTAAGAAAACATCTTAAATTCGGAAAATCACAATTAGGTAAATTAATTCAATATGTTGATGGCTACCACAAGTATTCTATTTATAAATACTTTTCCATTTTTTATGTTGAAATGACAGTATGTCCTTTATCCATTCTAACATGTAGTTTGTGTATTTGTCTTAATGCAAGGAAAGTAAAACATTTTGAAATATGATAGAAAGTATAAATACATTTCAATCAGTAGTTTATATTAAAAATTTTTTAAGGGAGTGCTAAATTTAAAGTAATTTGTTGTCAAATTATGGTAACTGTACAGATTATTTGAATTTTTAAAAATAAACAGATGGCCAGTTACATTTAAGTGAGCAATATTACCAGGACATGACGGAAAGTTAGCTGACAAATGTCATATCATGTTCTGAGAATATTGTGAGGAATCCAAATTTCACTCTCTTGGCAACGTACTGAGGCCATTTGGTGCAAAAAAGAAAGTGGGATTAAGATTTAATAATGACTGGAAATAAGTCCTTTGCATAATTTTTTCTAGGAACATTAATAGTTACCTTTGTTATGATAATGGCAACATCTCATTTTAAAAATGAAATGCTAAATATGTTAGAAACAGAACGTAACATTTCAATGACTGGGATAATCAAAATGAGTCCAACCTTTATTCTGATAATAGTAAATTTGCAAAGAGGGAAGAGACAAACTGTAATTGTATACATAGAAACACCTAGTCCCACTTTAAAATTTTAATATCTATATATAGTACTGTATTTAATTTTTAAAGATGAAGACAGCAAAAATATTCACATTAAAATATTTTACAGAAATCATTATTCTTCTACTCAAGAAAACCAATTATACTAAGTTAACAGGAAAAACTTAACAGAGGAAATTGTCCTTGGGACACTTATTCAACTGAAGATTTCACTTCATAGTTCAAAGAAGTAATTAAGCAGGTCTCAGGTGTCTTTTTCTCGGGGTAGATCGCCTTATGAATCTGAATTACAGTTCATGGATAAAGTTAACATTTTTTTTTTGTGTGTGTGAAATAATAATGCCAATTCTTGTAAACAAATGTCTATATCGAACCACTATCATTACTGTGTAACTCCTGGTAGTATCAGTGAAGTGGCTGAGAATTAAATGAGCATTATGCCCTTATCTTTAGATACAGTACCTTCAAAAGAAGCCCTAATGTGGACAAGCTAAGATGGGTGTGCTAAACCTAGGCATAGGAAACTCCATCTGCTTATGTCTTGTATTACCCTTTCCATCCCAAGTAACTTTTACCAGCTGTTTTACCACTGAAAAGAAAAGTAGTCAAAGGAAATAATTGTTTAATCATTATTAGTTGTGCTACAAAATAATGTGAATCACAGTGGGAGTGTTTTGTGAGCAAACTTCATATTACTATTCCCAACACACACACACAGGTACGTACAACATATTTAGTATGCCAAATGGAAGTATTATTAATAGTGGTTCACCATTCTTTGACTTTTCTAGTTATTTCTCAAGGTATGGTTCACAGACCCATGGAGACCCTTACACATGCTTAAGATTGGGTACCATTACTTTAAACAAACACAGACTCTGGCTCCTCATAGCAAACGATAAACTTATTCCACTGGGAGGGAAAAATATAAATAAAAGATTAATCTACTTTTGGAAAATATATGGCAACCTTGTCCCCCATATTGGACGTCTCCCTCCCATACTATACATTCACCGGCCACTTGTATTGATTAGTGTTTTCAAAGACAGAGAACTATAGTCGTCCCTTGGTATCCAAGGGAGATTGGTTCCAGGACCCCTGCAGATACCAAAATCCACAGACACTTATGTCCCTTATATAAAACAGAATAGCATAACCTATGCATATACTCCAATATACTTTAAATAATGTCTAGATTACTTATAATACCTAATAGAATGTATTACAAATGCCATGGAAATAGTTGTTGTATTGTTTTATTTGTATTATTGTTGTATTAT